GGGGGGGGGGGGGGGGGCGTGGCCAGGGGTTCTTCAGCCCCACCCCGGGTGATTCATGCAAAAGCCTTTGGATGTTCAGGATGGGTTGAAGAGTTCTGGGCCTGCTGTTTTTACCCCAGTCACAGGTACGCTGCCCCTGCTTTCTGAAGAGCTTGGGTTTATTTCTGCTGAAAAAGGGGGGGGCATGGCTCCTGCCCCCCCCCCCATTCTTTATTTCCCTTTCCAAAGCACAAGAGCAAAAATGGGACTCGGGCCTGGTTGCAGGATCTCTTCTGCTCCCCGCCTTTTCCTCGGCCCCCTCGCTGGGTTTCTTTCATTGTCACATTGCCCCTTGAGAATGTATTTTTGGTCCTGGGGGGCTGTGTAGCCCCTCCACCTTCTCTGACACACACACACACACACACACACCTGGTTTGTATATAACTGTACCAATACCTCGGTTTTGTGCGTGGTTATATTTTTTTTTGTTTTGTTTAATTCTCATCACAACATGCCTTTTTTAAAAGAAGAAAAAAATCATGTCCTTTTTTGGGGGGGTTCATTCCTCCCCCCCTCCCCTCTCTCTCTCTCTCTTAAGGATGCTGCCGTTTGATGTAGTTTTACAGGTTCTAGATTAAAACTTTCCAGAAAGCACCTACCTAGCGTTGGATTCCTGTTTGTGGTTCCACACTCCCCCCGCCCCGCCCCACCGTCACAAGGGATGGAAGCTGGGCGTCCCCGGAGGACTCGGGACCCGCAGCGTTTCCCATGGAAATACAGGGAGAGCAGCACAGCAAGGTGGGGGGGATCTCTGGACAGAGCATCGCTCCTTTCCGCTCGGCTCTGCTTGCCCGGTTCGCAAAGCCGTGCCAACACGGGGAAGACTCGCGGCATCTCCCGGCAGACCGTGGCCGGTTTCTTATTAAAGCCAAAGAAATAAAAGCACACGCTCCAAGCCTGTTTTTCAGGAAGGGGAGGGGGGCGTGCTCTTCCTTGGAAAGCATCCCAGGCTGCGGATTGGCAACTCTCGAAGTCCTCCTTGGCAGGGGCAGGTGGGGCCCCCCCCTCCCCCCCCCTCCCGAGGGGAAGGCCCCCCCCACCCCTGTCTCCCAGAAACTTCATTTTTTGAGGAGCAGAAACATT